GAAAAGTGTAAAATAAAATGGGAAATTAAAATGATATGTGTTCCCCCAACTCCCCATAGACAACTACTAAAAACATCTTGGGACTGAGCACAGTGGCTCACACCTATAATACTAGCACTTTGAGAGGCTTAGGCAGGAGGACTGCTTGAGCCCTGGAGTTTGAGACCAGCCTGGGCAACATGGCAAGATCCTGTTGCTACAAAAAAATTTAAAAATTAACCAGGTTTGGTGGCATGTGCCTGTAGTTACAGCTACTTGAGAGACTGAGGCAGAAGGATTGCCCAAGCCCAGGAGGTTGAGGCTGCGATTAGCTGTGTTCATGCCACTGCACTTCAGCCTGAGTGACAGAATGAGATATAAATTCAAAAAAAATTGGTATAGACTCTTTTAAATACATTGTCAACAGGAACTCAAGTACAACCTGCTTACCCTTGATTTAAGGAATTAACCCCAAACATAAGCCAGAAACTATAATTTCCCCACATTATTTAGAGAGCTTAAAATTATTTTGGTTAAGCCGGGCTTGGTGGCTCAGCCTGTAATCCCCCCGCTTTGGGAAGCTGAGGTGAGTGGATTGCCTGAGCCCACGGGTTCGAGACCTGCCTGGGCAACTTGGCGAGACCTCATCTCTACAATAAATCAAAAATTAGCCGGGCGTGGTAGCGTGTGCCTGTAGTTCCAGCTACTTGGAAGGCTGAGGCGAAAGGATCACCGGTACCCAGCAGGTCGAGGCTGCAGTGGCCGGGAGTGGCCACTGCACTCCAGTCTGGGTGACAGAGTGAGACTCCAACTCAAAAAACCCCCAAACCAAAAAAAAAAAAAAAAATTATTCTGGTTAGACATCCTCTTCAAGACTTACAGTAGGGAAAGGGGAATTTCAAGAGGCTAACTGCTCCTTCTAATATTTTTCAGTTCTGGAGTGTAAACTAATACAATCTCTGTGGAAAACAGTTTGGTGATTCCTAAAAGATTTAAAAATCAACCTTCCCTATGGGAATATACCCAGAGGAACTCAAATCACTCTATGAAGAAGATACCTGCACACATATGTTTACCGCAGCATTGTTCATAATAGAAAAAACATGGAACCAACCATACTGCCCATCAAAAGAGGACTGGATAAAAAAAAAAACTGTGGTACATATGCACGATGGAATATTACGCAGCCATAAAGAAGGACAAAATTATGAACTTCACAGCAACCTGAATGGACTCAAAATCTATAATACTGAGAGATCTATCACAGAAACAAAGAACTGAGTATCACATGTTCTCACTCATAAGTGGACCTTAAATGATTACTATAATACTATAAGAAAAGGATTGGCAGTAGCGGGAAACTGCCGGAGCTGGGGGAGGCAAGGTTGGCAGTAGTGGGAATCTGCTGGGGGAGGGGGACACACCTCATCAACAAGGGTGCCTGTATAATGAACATTTGTAAACCCAGCCCTGAATTGTACCCCATATCTTTAAAATAAAATTTTTTTTAAATAATAATATTTTTCAACCAAATCTCCTTAGTCTCACTCATATTCCCACCTTCGAGATTTCCTAGAGCCTCCAATTCCTGAGTCTTTCCAGAACTAATTTCTTGGCATCCACCTATTTCTAACCACCTGTCTTATGTTTCAACTTTCTGATGTGCTAAATGATTTACCTGTTTTTTGTTCTTATCCCTTCTTTGTTCATGTAAGCATGCTTTTTAATCTCTTTTTTTATCATTCTAGCAGAGTGTGGATCAGGGACAGAAATAGACGTATGTGTTTTATCAACAATGTTCTACTGAAGACATTTCATATATTTTCAGGTAACTTGTTACAGATTGACAAGTTGCTTTCCAAAAGTATTTTACCATCTACCCATGATGAGCTGGCTTCAGGGACTCAAAATCCAATATTTCCAGAGTGGAAAATTTAATCAAGGAAACAAAAAAAAATTACTGAAGAGTCACTAGAAGGATACACATTATTAAACATTTCCCTTGCTTAGATCACATACCTTCTACCATACTGCCTCTCTGTTCATGACACTTAAGTAATGGAATAATAAACTAATACAGAGATAAACAAATAAAACAGTAAAAGAATCTGTAGGGGCAAAAATAAAATATGCACACAAAAGGATAAATGGGGAAAATGAATCTTTGTCTAAAAGTAGCTAGACATGACCCCCAAGCAGTAGTCATCTCCAACCATCTTTTTCTTTAATACTCTGCAGATTGGAGGAATTCTTTGAGTGGAACTAGAAATGGGAGTAAGAAAGGCTGATCTGAAACTTCTGGTGGGAAACAAAGGACAAGAAAATAAAAACATTCAATCACTAACTCAACAAATATTTACTTGCAGTATTCTTTTTGACAGACACTGTGCTTGTCTATCATTATGAGAAAAGGGGACCTAGTCTCTGCCCTCATGGAGCTTATGGTTCGGAAAGGATGAAAAATAATGAGAACACATTATAAATAATTATTTTATTTACATTTGTGTTATTTCCATGAGAGATAATATCAGAATGCTTGCATAAGATGCAATAGGGGGCCTAGCCTAGGCTATAGGTTATCGATAGTATCTTGTAGGGAGTAACAATTAACCTGTGGTTCTCAAAATCTAATTCTTACCTTAATGTTTGAGAACCACTAATCTACACTGAAACTTGAAGGATATGGAGGAGTTGGCAGGGAAGGAAGAGGTGAAGAGCAGAAATTGAAGGTACAAAAGGGATTATAAAAATTTCCACGGGATTTCAGAAGATTAACAGACTACTTTTTGAGTGCAAAGATCAAGAAAGTTATGTCTATTGCTTCTCATTTCTTCTGTATTCTAGTTCTTCTATATGCCATGTGTAGACTATCAAAACTAACTTCATATCATTCTAGGACTGAGAAGTGATCCTGCACAATGGTTCTCAAAATTTATGTGCATCAGAGTCACCAGTAGACCTTACAAGACCACAGACTTCTGGGCTCAGACTTTTTGATCCTGGAATTTTGAGTGGAGTCTGAGAATTTGCATTTTTACAATTTTAGTGACCCTAACATTGCTGGCTCAGGGACTACACTTTGAGAATCATTGCTGTAGTGTGTTTCCAAAACTTAGTTAGTTGTAACAATCAAGTGATATGGTTCTTTATAGTGAAATTCTCTGGATATTTGATTTAAAAGTTTGTGGTAAAGTCCAAGAACTTGTATTTCAAACAATGTCCAAGGTGATCCTTTTGATTAATCAAAACTGGAAAACATAATTCTACTTATAATTTGGGTTTTAGGGCCCTTCTTATGAAAATCTTTGTTGTTTATTATTCTTTCTTCTATATGTAAATTACAAACTACTGGTTTATCTACTCATATTGCATTCTTATCACATTCAAAACAACTAGAATCCAGTTAACTAAACCTTTGAATTTCTAATTTTACTTATAATACTTTTCATTTCCAGTAGTTTTATTCCTTTTCACATGTGCTGGGTTAGGGATCATACTTGGTAAGATTGTCATTAGCATATTTTGTGGGGAAGGGCCAAGATGGTTGACTGAAAACACAATTGCTGCTCTCAGTAAAGAAACCTAACTGGAAAAGCAAGCCTAGAGCTTTGAGGGTTTGCTTGAAAACGCAAGCTAAGGTTTATCAGAAAGTCACCTGGGAACACAAAGGATGAAGAGCTGCAAGCCCCAGTCACCCCCAGAAGTAGACCTTTCATGAAATTGGAAGAGTATTCATGGAAAAGGAAGGGGTGCATTAAAGAGACAGTTGTTTTTTTTTTTTACACACTTTATGCAAGCCTCTACAGTCCAGCCAAGGAACAGACAACCCAGGCTCTCCTCCCACACCCTCCCACACAGACCAGGCACAGAGCACTGCCTGGGATTGGAATGTAGACACTGATGGGATCCACGTAGAACCCAGGAAAGTCCAGTTTATAGTAAGCCTCAGCGCCAGAAGCCACCAATCCCCCATGAAGAGACTTTGCAGAAAACACCTTGTGGGGGCGGTCTGTATGGGGTGGGTGGTCCCCTCTCCATCTCCAGTCCCCAGCAGGATGACATGCCCACTTCAAGGATGTTTCTCCAACAACACCAGCATCCACCATGGCCCCAGATCAAGGTTGCAGACGCAGCTTGCCCTCAGGAGGCTGCCATCACTGCACTGTGACAACTCCTCCCATGGAGCAAGGTGAGAACTAAAAGTAGGTGCACCTCTGCACAGCTCTTTGGCAGTAGTCCTCCCCACCTTCTGAAGGAGAAATAATCTTACTGCACTAGCAAATCAGTTGCCTTTCTACCCCAATGCAAAAAGTGCAGTCCCACCTAGACTAGAGGAGACTATTTCATGACCCCAAGAGCACCTGTGTCTGAGTAGAGCTATGAAACACCTCCTGACTGCCCACCAATCCTGCTGACTAAACACACAGACTGGGGGATGGAGGTGTTGCCGGAGCTCCCAGACAGTCAGTTCTCTTGGTGCTTGTGCCAAAGGGAGGGAAGAACCTCTGAACTGGAAGAAAGCACTTGCCCCACTCCTACTAGACTGCACTGATGAAGCAGTCTCAGACAGAGTCCCCCCAAGTTCACCACCCTTTCTGCCACCTCTGTCCCTCCCACAGGTGACTATAGGACAGAGATATGGTACATTTTTAAAAAACAACAGTGACACCTCAACAGTAGCAACTTTATCTAATAAAAATAACAAATACAAAAATAAAAATAGAAAAGTCTATCTTCACAGATAAGGAAGGGCCAGTGAAAAACACCAGCAATCCCCAAAGCCTTAAAAAGTTGACACCCACCAAGGGGCATCCCAGGTCCCAAGCAATGGAACTCATTGATAACAACCAGTCCCTGATGACAGACATGGAATTCAGACTGTGGATGTCAAAGACACTCAGCAAGATCCATGAAAAAGTGGACATTCAAATCAACCAGCCCACAAAAATAGTGCAAGAAGTGAAGGCCGACCATCACAATGCATAGTAGTTTATAGACTATAAAAATCAACCACACTGGATATCCTGGAGTATATTCACGAGCACGAGTATGTGCATGGAGACATCAAGGCCTCAAATCTTCTTCTGAGCCACGAGAATCCCGACCAGGTGTACTTGGTCGATTATGGACTTGCTTATCGGTACTGCCCAGAAGGCGTTCATAAAGAGTACAAAGAAGACCCCAAAAGGTGTCACGATGGCACTATTGAATTCACCAGCATTGACGCGCACAATGGCGTGGGTATGTCAGTAGTGCTTGAATGAGCGATACATTGCTAATATTTTCAACCAGATTCCTACACAGTTCTTAATTATGCATAAAT